CAGCAGCACAGTTTAAGTGCATGTCCTCGCTCTGAGGGGACAGAAGACCGATGCCACTGCTCTCAGCTGATTGGTTCTTGTCCTACATGTGAGCGCTGAGAGTCGGCAGCCTGTTGCAGCAGCTCCTACTCTTTAATAAATGTCACTTCTTATGCACGCTGCTGTTTACATTACTCAGCTTCTGCTTATCATACCATGTCACTTTAACTTCCTAGTTACTGCACAGTGTCTGAATGTCCTGTATAGTTTTCTGTTGGCAATTAATTGGTGTGGGCTGCACGGTGCTGCAGTGGTTAGCGCTGTTGCCTCGCAGCGAGGAGGTTCCTGGTTTGAATCCCCGTCTGACAGGATCCTCTCTGTGTGGAGTTTGCATGTTCTCCCCGTGCATGCGTGGGTTCTCTCCGGTGCTCCTGCTTCCTCCCACAGTCCAAAGACATGCTCTTTAGGTTAACTGGTGACCTAAATTGTCTGAGGTGTGGCTGGTTGTCTGTCTCTATATGTCACCTCTGTGATTGGCTGGTGAACAGTCCAGGGTGTAACCCGCCTCTCGCCCAATGACAGCTGGGATCGGCTCATACACCCCCGCGACCCCGAACTGGAAAAGTGGTATAGATAATGGATGGATGGATGGATGTATATTCTTCTTTTAACTCCAATTGCAAATTTTAAATCATGTCTTTTTACTGCTGCAACACTTGAGACTTTCCCCTCTGAGAACCGATAAAGGACTCTCTTGTCTGATCTTACTCAGGTCATATCGAGCCCAATGAGTTTCTTCGACACGACTCCGACCAGCCGCATCCTCAGCTGTTTCTCCAGGTGTCAGGATGAGATCGACTCTCTGATGCCTCATCATCTCAACGTCCTGCTCTCCTTGTGTATGATCACCGTCTGCATCTGCATCATCAACTCCATCATCTTCCCCATCATGGTGCTGCCCGTGTTCATCCTGGTGACAGTCCTGTCTCTCCTCCTCTGGTGGGTCAACGCTCATCGGCGCAGCTCGTTTATCCAACCTTCATTTCATCTGTAATCACTCTCACATATCAGGGCAGCCGCAAGTACAGAGTAAGAGTAGGAAAACAAAACAGAAAACAGATCAAGTGAAATACTCTTGTAGATGTCATTTAGACGTCAAACATGTTTAAAGGAGCAATATGTAACTCTGACACCTAGTGTTTAAAATGGGTACTGCAGTTCAAATTCTAAACATTGTAGAGAGCTGTCCCCCCCGCCCCCTCCTTTCTAGAGTCGATGCTCACGCAGGTCGCCATGTGGTGGACACTGAAGCTTCAGTGTTTATCCAGCTCTGCATCGGTCTGTAAATCTTTCTGTGTTCTAACCTCTCTCCATTTTTCAAAAGCATCTCCAGTATTGATCCTAGTTTGAGCACGTTTCTGCTCGTGGAGCTTATTAGAAACATGCAGAGGCTTTTTAGGTCGGGTACAATCACTTCTATCTGAACCACTTCTCTTGCCCGCTTCATAATTGCTTTTGAAACGTGTTCTCGTAAACAACCGGCTTCGTCTTGGATGTAAATGTTCACATACTTGCCTATATACAACACGTGTTACTGGGGGATTCAGGCTTTGCCATTGTTGTAGCAGCTCTCTGGTGTCTCTGATGTTGTCACAGCCGGTCTCCTCGTGGTTATATGCTCAACCAACGCTCAAAACCACCGCAGGATATGCAAAGGCTGATGTCATGCGTTCAGGTATGAGTAGTTCAAAGCAAGTTTACCCAAGGCGTTATCACTGCTGTCTCAGCAAAAAGGTTCCTGAAGTCCTGGTCTGAAGTCCCTGATGGGCCGTGGCCTTTCTGTGGAAAGTTTGCACAATCTCACAGGTTGATATATATAATCAAAAGTGTCATCATTTTCTTTTTTATTTAACTATTTTAAGTCTATCTTCTCCTTCTTCAAATTTTTATTTTTGCCTTTATTTGCATTATTTGTTTCTATTATCTGTTTATCACCTGAAGAAGACCTCTGGTCGAAACGTAGTGATCAATAAAACCCCCCTTTTTTTTTGAGGCAATTGAGCAAGTGGGCCTATCTTCTTTCTCTATTATCTGTTGTCTTATTTCTGTGTAAGTATATGAGAGCGAGAAATAACCCTGAAAAACCAAAGCTGATTCTGATTGTGAAACTGATGTGTGATGGTAAACGCTGACTGTGTCTCTCTGCAGGATGTTCCGGGGAAACATCATTCAGTTAAAGATGACGGAGAGCATCAGCCGCTCTCCCTGCGTCTCTCTGTGCACCTCCATCGCTCAGGCCTCAGCACCATCCAATCCTACCACAAGACGCACAACTTCACCAAGCGTGAGACGGCACTCCACCGTTCTGACTCTTCAAAACATCTCCAATAGTCAATCACTTCTGCTTTATATAATGCAATACACAAACAAATCACAACAAAATGCTGTCTCATGAATTTTTACACCCACTGCAACCCAGTTCTAGATGTGATCTTAACTCGTTATGTGGAACACATCTGAATAACTCTAAACTGACTGAACCATTTAACTTCTTAAGTTTTTTATCACCTGCAAGTTAAATCATAACCTCTGCCAAGGAGGTCAAGTTTTGGGGTCTGCCCATTTGTTTGTCACAGACACTGGTTATATTATTGGATCTTTGCTGCTTCTGCTGCTTTCGACCAAAACACAACTTCTCTGAAGACCTCTGAGTGGATGGAAACCTGGAGAATCAAAGATCAGAGAAGCCGTCGTCGTGTGTTTACTGTGTTTCACTTTTCAGTTTTGAAGTTCCTCCTGTCAGAGGTTGGACGTTGTTCACCAGAGATAACCGGCTCATCCTGTTTGTGTTTCAGGTTGAAGAAGCTGTTGGACGCCAACGCTAACCACCTCTTGTTGTTCCACTACGGGATGCGATGGCTGGCCTTCCTGGCCGACTCTCTGTGTGCGGTCATGACGCTGCCGGTCGCTCTGCTGGTTGTCTTCGTCTCCAATGATGTCAGCAGCCCGCCTGTGAAAGCCCTCGCTCTGTGCTTCATCATACAGGTGAACCTCTCGCCTGACTCAACACACACACACACACACACACACACACTCAAGTGCCAGGATTAAAATGTTATCCTACTTAAAGGAGGTGGTTTTACTTTAAAAACATCAGGAACTTGTTAGGAGAAGAAAACCTTTCCACAAGTGGCTGCAGGTTTTTCTAAAAGCTCCGTATATTAAATGTGTGAACACATGTTCTGTAATCTGTTTGAAGTGGACTGTATGTCTCTGATGTGTGTTTTTCTTTTCTGTTTAAAAAAAGCTGACGACTAACTCTCAGACGATGATCCAGTCCCTGCTCGAGGTGGAGATCCGGTTCCTCTCTGTGGAGCGGCAGCTCGAGTACATCCAGGTCGGTGTTTGAATTTGAAGATGAAGGGAAAAAGGTTGAACTTTTTGCAACACTTGGATGTTGATAATTTACAGTAAACACCCAATAGAGACATAAAATGCACATTTGAAATAAACACAAAGTACTTGTGCCCTAATGAAATCCAGTTGTGCCCCTGTGTCCTATAAGTTACAGCATTGCCACTTTCAACAGACCGAGGCTTTGTTGATATGAGCTCCAGGTATGACAATGCTGATAGTACCTTCCCTACTGCATGGCCCCCACAACACATGGTGTAGGCTGATAGACAGCTTGAGTGGAAAAAACAACAACAATGGGATAATAAGTTTATTAGTTGAATCTGATGTTTCCCTTTATTTTTCAGAGCAGAGTCTTAAGGCCTTTGGACACTGACTCCATTTTTTTCCATAATCCGAAAAAAAAAAAACTTTACTCACATAAACCTTACACACTGAGTCTGCTGCGTTTATTTTTCTATTGATCGCGAACATTTGCGGTTCGAGACAGTCTCGTACTCATCACGCAGAGTGATCAAGCAGTGGAGATGATTTTGAGATTCATTCACTTCTTGAAAAAAAAAAAACACAACGAGGTCCGTCCACACAGAGGCGCTGCTTGTCAACAGGCAAGGCAGGCAGACCAGTAGGGGCCCCCAGACCAGTAGGGGGCCCCAGAACAGCGGCCGAAAATTTTGCAATGATGGTAAGCGGTTCCCATCTGACATAACTCACTCTCATTGCCCTGCTGAACGCTGGTTGGAGGCCCCCCCCCCCCCAAACTCTCCCAGGCTGATAGTCAGACTGAGAGATGAACGCTGCTCCCTGCTGGTCTGCTCTCTGATCTTGGTTTTTCTTTCAGGGCTGTGAGTCCGAGACCTCAGGGCAGCTACATGTGGATCAGGCGTCAGAGGACTGGCCTCAGCATGGAGCCATCACCTTCCTGGATTATAAAATGAGGTACAGGAAAAACTCCCCTGTGGTGCTCAACGAGCTGCAGCTCCACATCAGAGCGGGGGAGAAGCTCGGCATTGTGGGAAGGGCCGGTTCAGGTGAGAACATGCCTGCAGGATAAACCTTTCTAAACAGCAGGGGGCGACTGCGCTGGTTGCAAAAAAATAAAAGTGAGATGGTATGGAAGCCCTGGAGAAAATGAGCATGCGTCTTACTTCATTAAACATGTTCCTGCAAGTTTTTATGGTCTCAATCTCCAGTTTCAAGTTTTCCTAAACACTGCATGAGGTTCATTTTGTCATTTTGGTCCCATTTAGAGTCACAAAATAAGTCTATACTTTAGGGCATGGCTCCCTTTTATTGCACAAGTTTCTACAAGATGTTAACTCTGATAGAGATGTAACAATGCGTGTTCAAGTCTCTGAAGATGCACAGGCTTTATTAAGGAAGGCAGTTAATGTAATACAACCTGAAGGTCAACGGACATTTTGAGACTAAGCACTGAATTGGAGAAACTAAATCCTGAGTTATTCTCACTGATGTTGGCTGAAAGTACTGAATGGTAGATATAACCGTCTAAGAAGGATGGATCGGGCATTCTGTGGTTAGCAATGATGAAATCCTGCAGTGTGAAAGCATCCATGTGTCTCCAGGAAAGTCCTCTCTTGCCGTGGCTCTTTTCCGGTTGGTTGAACCGACTGGAGGAAGAATTCTGATAGACGGAGTGGACATCACGTCGATCCGCCTGTCTGACCTGCGCTCTAAACTGTCAATCATCCCCAGGAGCCTGTGCTGTTCACCGGTACTGTCAGGTAACTTGGTCTCTGAGCCTGGTCAACCTCCTCTTCCTGATCATTTTGGTCCTATATGGTCCTGTTTTAACCTTTATTTAACCAGGTTTGTCCCACTGACATTAAGAACCTCTTTTCTAAGGGAGACCTTGCCAAGAAAGGCAGCAGCAAAAACACAAAATTCTGCTTTAAAGAGAATAATGTTAGGTGCGGCAGTAGCTCAGATGGCGTTGGTGTCTCTATGGAAACGACTGCAGGGGGACTATCTTTGATCAACAGGTGTGTCAGTGTTTGTGTTTGTGTGCAGGTACAACCTGGACCCTTTCAGCAGCTACAGTGATGAGGAGATCTGGGCCGCTCTGGAGAAGACCTACATGAAAGACACGGTCAGTATCAGGTTTCATTTGTTTTCACTTAAAGTCTCTCAAATAGGACCACTGTTAGTGCACATCACAGGCCTGGAGCTTGACTCTGATTGGATGTTTTTTTTTTCTTCTTCTACTCATTTTTTTGTTTAAATCAGATTTCCAAGCTGGACAAAAAGCTGCAGACTGAGCTGACGGACAACGGAGGGAAACTCTCTGTAGGACAGAGGCAGCTGATGTGTCTGAGCAGAGCACTGCTACGAGACTCTAAGGTCTGTCTGTCTGTCTCACTCTCTGCTGCATGTCTTACTTTCTGTCTGTCTCACTCCCTACCTGTCTGTCTGTCTGTCTGTCTGATCTCTCCTGTCACTCAGTGGGTGTTTGCTTTTCTCTGTATCTCTGGCTTACTGTCTGTCTGTCCATGTTTTTATCGCTCTGAATATCTCAATTTATTCCCGTAAGTCTATCCACCTGTCTGTCTGTCATCTGTCTTTCTTTGAGTGTTCCATTCATTATGATTGTCTCTGTCACAGATCGTCTTATTGGACCAGGCGACGGCGTCTGTGGATGCGGCGACCGACACTCAGATCCAGATCACCATCAGTGAGGCGTTCAGGTGCTGCACGGTGCTCACCTTCACTCACCGCATCAATACGGTCCTGCAGGCCGACCGCATCCTGGTCCTGGACCATGGAGAGGTAACTCACACAGTCTGCAGTTAGTTCAGGTGTCACACAGGTGTACAGGTCAGGTTTTGTTCTGTTTATACTTACCAATGAGATCAACATGACCAACACATCCTTATTAGTCATAAATATTTTCATAAAGAAGAGTTAAGCTGGGCGTGCAATGAACTATTTAAGACCGATGTAGACAGGATTTTTGATCCCCCGTTGCTTGCTGTCAGTCTACGGGGTCATGACACCTGATCAGCTGCTCCTGACAGGTCGGAGGACATTTTGGCATGTTTGATATTTAGGTTGCACGACTGCATATTCCCACAGATAGAACAGCACCACCAGCCGTTTCCTCATCTGCTTTTTCCTGATTGCTAGTGCGCAAATTATTAGACAGCATTTAAAATCACCATGGCAACAGCAGGCATGTGTCATGTGTCTTCCCCCCTTCTATCACCAGAGAAAGGCTTGGTCGTGTGGTGGAAATGATTCAGTCGTACATTGAGAGCCGACATTTAACCACAACTTTTAGACAATCGTCTAGTGTACGCCCGGCTTTAAACAGATTAAACTAGTAATGTTTCAGGTGTTTTGTGTGAAAAACTCTGTTGCTGTCCTGCAGGTGGTCGAGTTCGATCATCCAGATGTGTTGAGACAAAAACCAGAATCGCTTTTCTCACATCTACTTAGTGCAGCGAATACCGGGCCATCCTGAAGGCCTCAAAGACACGGACTCTGTGAGTTCCTGTAGTCCTCAAACACACCGGAAGTCCTTAAACAGACGCTATGAGGTCCTGACATCCTCCACTCTACCAACATTGTGAAGTCCCAGGGACCTCAAACACACCATCGACACTGAGTCCTCAAAACACGGTGTCCTGAAATCCTCCTGGGCATCAAACACAGAATGTGAAATCAAGAAGATCTCCAACACGCAGACACTGTGATGTCCTGAAGTCCTCAAACACACACCGATAAGGGGATGTCTTTAAGACCTGTAGCAGGCCGACTGTGGACTCTTCAAACACACACTGTCTGTGCCCGTCCTGTCTGGACAACAAAGGCTGCGATGTGAAAACTACAGACTTTAAACAACTCTTGTAAAAGCATCTTTGAATCATGACTTTTTAAGATTGTTTACTTGTAAATATATTTTAATTATGTGAGTATGTTGGCACAGTTGTTTTGTTTTCAAACTTTCACCTTGTTTATTTCTTTTCTAGTCTTCTGACTACTACTCACACACTGATGGTCGAGGCTGCTGTGTAAAGTGACCATCAGCATTTCAGGCAGGGTTGGTAATTT